TTGAACATAACTATGAAATTGGAATTGTCACGGATCAATTGTTTTGGAATTCTTGAATATGTTTGCGCTAAATAGAAACAGTCCACATGCTTATGACGACCCATACTGAAATATGATCTGATGACATCTTGATTTTCACTAATCACATCATCGAAAATGAATATAGAATCTGGTTTAGCTTCTGACGGATCCATCACCTCGATATTATTACTGAATGTATGAAATCCTAGTCCTCTTATTGGTTGTAGTACATCTTGTAGATATTTATACTTTGGTTGATTCAACGACTTGGAGTACAAATATACGTTTGCAAAGCGTAGACCATGAGGGTGAGTTAACAAAGATATCATCACATTAGTTTTGCCGCAATTAGAAGGACCGATGATGAGGCCTCGGACTGTAGAAGGTAATAAATCCCCATGTCTCGATTGGTTCTCTCTTCCATTCCCATATCCAATTTTATTATCCCAATTGTCTACAACAAAGTGCTCTTTTTGTTTAACAATGCGCATCGTTTGACAGTTGAATGATATATAAAGACCAATACCAAGGGACCTTCTCATTTATATAATGATAGTTGAACGGTGCAGACGCAAAACATCAACTAAGAAAATTAAAATTGGTGAAGGTTTCGTTAATACCCTAATCAACAAACTTCCATTCGAATTACATATACCTGGTGGTTATCAGTATTGTGGTCCTGGAACAAAATTGCAGAAGCGATTAGCTAGAGGAGATCCAGGAATAAATCAGTTGGATATCGCTTGTAAGAAACACGATATTGCTTATTCTCAAAATCATAGTGACCTAGATGCTAGGCATAAAGCTGACGAACAATTAGAGTTAGCTGCGTGGGAGAGAGTGAAGTCAAGAGACGCGAGCGCAGGAGAAAAAAGTGCAGCTTGGTTGGTAACTAATATAATGAAAGGGAAACGTCGTTTTGGTATGGGTTGTCGTATGACTCGAAAGATAGCTTTTGGATCAGGAATAGTTCACAAAGTTCGAGGAGATCTTCGTCTAGCAGGTAGAAATCAGAAGATTGGAACAAATATGAAAAATGTGACGAATATTGCTCTAGCAGCTGCACGAAAATATTTGAAAGTTGCAGGAGGGAAGAAGAATATTCGAACTCCGCGCATAATTCCGATCCCTAAGGTTGGTGGAATACTACCTCTCATACCAATATTCGCAGGATTATCTGCTTTAGGAAGTATTGCAGGAGCAGCTGCAGGGATTACGAAGGCTGTTCAGTCAGCGAAATCAAGTAGAGAACAACTTATTGAAGCGAATCGTCACAATAGAAACATGGAGGCCATTGCAATTGGCAAAAGTGGTAAAGGTGTTTATTTGAAACCCTATAGAAAAGGATTAGGTATCTTCTTGAAATCATCGAATCCAAAAAACTGATAGACTCCCTACCTCGAAGACCTTTAAGCAATATTGATATTGAAAATTTTGCACAAGAGATAAAGCTTCCCAATTTTCGAGGTGTATTCATGCGTGACAATTTACCTACTTCTGGCCCACTTCGCAACGAATCAGCCATCATAAATCTTGATACAATTCAAGGTCCTGGCACTCACTGGGTTGCATATAAAAAACGTGGTAGGGTGATCGAATACTTTGACAGTTATGGTGATTTACCCCCTCCAAAAGAATTGATTCGATATTTTCATAGTGGTCCAACAACAGAATATAAAATACTATACAATTATGATCGACAACAGAAATACAACACAGTCTGGTGTTTTTTTTTTTTTTTTTTTTTTTTTTTTTTATCGCTTGAAGCGCACGAAAGGGAATCCCTATAATGTTCAAAGAACATCGTGCGTTCCTAGGGAGGATAGGGACAGGAGGTAGGTATTGGAATTTTTTTTGAACTTTTGGAGATTATATGTTGTTGGGAATACTTCAACAGGCAATGAATTCCAGAGCCTAGCCGTTCTATGGATGAAGGAGTCTTGATAAAGTGCTGTTCGACATCTTTCGAGGTTGACAACGAAAGGATGTGCTGACTGGGCTTGTCTAGTTCGTCTGATTGGTATTGCTAGTGAAGGGATGATAGCAGAGATTTCCGAAGAACATTTCCCGTGGAAGTATCGATAAAAAAGTGAAAGGTCGCCGACCTTTCTACGGTGTTCCAATGATGTCAAAGAGTGAGTAAGTGTGGCGTCACCCACCAGGCGAATGGCTCCTCTCTGGATGGAATCTAAGAGCATCAGCGTATGTTTTGGTGCTGAACCCCATATGTGGGAACAGTATTCTAGAACAGGCCGTATCTGCGCTTTGTAGATCATGAGAAGCTGTTGAGGTGTAAAGTAGCTTTTCGCACGGAACAAGAATCCGAGTTTTTGTGAAGCAGCTTTTGCGATGGATCTGACATGATTATCCCATGAAAGAGTGTTGCTGATGGAAATACCGAGCATAGATATGGTGGGCTTGGTGGGGATGGTGGAGCCAGACATTACAATATCGGGCATACTGAGTTCCGCCTTTCTAGAGAAAATGCAGGCTTGAGTTTTGGTGGCGTTGAATTCAACTAGGTTGTTTGTTCCCCAGGCTGTGATTTCAGCAAGATCTTTATTGACAGCATTGACCTGCCTGCGCCGTGAGTTCTTAGTTTCCTGGGAAGAAATGGGAATTCTGGAAGAGAACGCAGTATGGAGGGTACTATCATCTGCAAAGCTGTGGATGGGGCAAGTTGTTACTCCCAACAGATCATTGATATGAAGCAGGAATAATGTTGGTGCCAAAATTGATCCTTGTGGAACGCCGGAATTGATGCTAATGGTATCAGACGATACACCGTCCACCACCACGTGAAGTGATCTGCCTGAAAGAAAACTCGATAAGAGATGGCATAGCTGAGGTGGTAAGCCGTATGATGGTAGTTTGTGGAGGAGTCCTTCGTGCCAAACACGGTCGAATGCTTTCGATATGTCCAACGCAACAGCTAGAGATTCCCCGTGTTTTTCTATTGAAGATTGCCATAGATGGGTGACGTAGGCAAGTAGATCTCCAGTAGATCTTCGGTGGCGAAAGCCGTATTGTCTATCATTGATGATTCCTGAGCTCTCCAGATATTTGATAAGCTCAATATTGATGGCTTTCTCCATCACTTTGGAGATCACTGATAACAGGGCAATGGGCCTGTAGTTGTTGGGTAGGTTCTTGTTCCCTTTTTTGGGGATTGGTTGGACTCTAGCTGTCTTCCAGCATGATGGAAAAATACCTGACCTGTACGAGATGGTAAACAACTTGCAGAGAATCGGTGTTAATTCTGGTGCACATTTTTTGAGGATAATGGGTGGAATTCCATCAGGACCGTTAGCCTTATTCGTTTTGAGACCAAGTAAAATTCGTCTGATATTGCGTTGACGGAAGACGATTTCGGGCATTTGTGCTTGGAGTTTCTCTCTACATAAAATCATTAGACCAGTCATGGATCGAGAGAGTATTAAGCGAATGGGTCATTCACTGAAGGCATATTCTAAGGTAGGGAGTTTATTGAAGATGACAGAAGAAGAACTTGCTGACATGCCGAAGGAAGTGATCATCGCTTGTGCTGCACATGAAATTGTTATGGTATGGGATAAACTACCCGTTCATTTACAAAATGATGTCGATATTCTGAAATATCAATACTGTGATGAACATTATAATGATACTGGAGATGATGTGAATGATGGACCTATACCTAAAAGAATATTCTGCTGCTACTGTAATATAAGAGATGTCAACGTAGGAGCGAAAAATGAAATAGAGTGCAAACCTTCTGAAATAAAAAAGAGAATGTTCACGTCTTCATGCTGCAAACAACAATAAAATGAATGATGTTCTTATTTATAATCTCATACTCACAATATACATTTTTTTTTCTGTCTCCACTTGAGTTTTACTTCTTTCCTTATACACACACTCAATCGATTGTTGTATAATTTATTCATCAACACCTAGCTATCGATGAGCCTGAACAGAATCGAAACGTGTATAACTACGACTTCTACACAGTTCAAATAAAATGATACAATGAAAAATGTATGAATCAGTTCAATGCCATCAGTCATGTCGCGAACATTCACACTAACTGGAGAAACAAGTGTGTTGAGTGCAAACTTTTTCCCACCAATCGAATTAGATGTACATAGTCGTTATGGGTTGGGATTGCACGGATTCTACTCTTACAATTCCATATTCAATGTGGATGAGAAAAATAATATAATCATTTACAAAAAAAATGCGAATGATTCACCAGTAACTATTGCAATCCCTCCAGGTGTCTATGAGATAGATGAAATCAATAAAACAATAAAATCCATATTGAAAATGAAATTGAATATGTCGATGAATGATATACATTCAATATTTTCATTGCAAGCCAACAATAATACTTTGAAATGTGAGATTCAATCTAAATTGGAGATTGATTTAACACATGAGAATTCCATTGCGCCTCTTTTAGGATTCGAAGCTCAGCGTTTAGAAGTGAATAAACGATATGAATCAACATTACCCGTAAATATTATGCGAGTGAGAATCATTCGAATCGATTGCAATATTACATCTGGTGCATATTTCAATGGTGAAGAAGCGCATACTATATTTGAATTTGACATAGATGTAGAACCTGTGTACAAGTTGTCCAAAGAACCGCAGAATATTATTTATATGCCAGTGAGACCAGAAGGATGCCAGTTCATTGACAACATTACTCTGAGTATTTTGGATGATACCGGTGCATTGATAGATTTCCGAGGAGAGAAAATAATACTGAAATTGGAACTGAAGAAATTATCTTGATTTATTAACGATGGGATTCTCATTCAGACGTACTCAGAAAATATCAACTGATTGCCAAACGCATATAAAGAAGAGAACGCACAATTCCACGTTCACTTCACGCAGTCGTCCCGAACAGTCAAGATATAAGCTGTCAACTGACGATCGGAATTTTCTGAAGAATATTGTGGGACTGAAGTTACGTTAAAAGTATAACCAATATGGTGCAACAAACAACTAGTGAAAAACTGAATGTTTTTGATGAGCCAGTCATGGATCATTCATTAATAAGTCTCCATGAACACACATACAAACCATATGGTTCACCATATTACAAAAATTCAGACGAAATTAGAATTCCTATCAATTTCCAAGATTTGATACTGGACATTGCAGAAAGTTACATTTATATCGAAGGTAAATTCAAGCCTAAGGATGCTACCATACTTTGTTACCTATCTAATAATGCACTCGCATTCCTGTTCGATGAGATTCGCTATGAAATGGGAGGTGAACAAGTAGCTGTAATTCGGAAGCCTGGCATAACTACAACTATGAAAACTATGATATCATATGGACAAACACATGTCACATCACTTCAAACTAACGGATGGGGACTCAATAAAGATAAACAAGATATTTTGGATACCACCAGTCATATTTTCAGTGGAAAATTGCCTCTAAAGTACCTGATGGGCTTTGCTGAAGATTACACCAAGGGAATTTTGAATGTTAAACAAGAGCTCATTCTTATCATTGCTCGCTCATTCAAAAACTCATACATTGGAGAGGTTGATGCTGATTTGGAGATAAATAAAATTGAATGGAAAATCAAACACATCATGCCAGAGGATAGACAAAAGCTCAAATTACTTAATCGAATAAATAAAAATAATACTGCTAAAGTCAAGTTAGCATATCGAATGTGGGATCTGTATGAGTTACCATCACTACGAGACACAGCTTCAGATATTTGGGCAATAAAAACAACGAATAGTCTTGAACGTCCCCGATATATAATTATTGGATTCCAACACACTGACGATCTCAATGATAGATCAAAAGATGCAACCAAATTTAAACATGCCGACGTTTATAATATTCGCCTATATCTCAACTCAGAAGTATATCCATATGAAAGGTGGAATCTTGATTTCGATAAAAAGCTTTACTCACCAGCTTACTATGCTTATGAACAATTCCAACGAAACTATTATGATAGAGATATGAGTGAGCCTATGATGACTCTCGGAGAGTTTCGTAAGAACCCTCTTTTCATAATTGATTGCTGTCACCAACCAGATGCTATGAAGACTTCTACAGTGGACATAAAAGTGGAATTTGAAACTCGCAAAACTAAGTTTCCAGAAAATACAAGAGTCTATGCATTAATTATACATGACGCATGTATGACATATAGTGCTCTAGATGGCACTGTTCAAACTGGATCTGTATAAGAATAATGTTATTGTAATGAAACTATAACTATATCGATATAGATAATCAAATATAAATATATTTCAATTAGTTCATATGTATTCATAATTATTATAGACATTCATTTGTGACTTAGTAATTCATGTATTCCTAACATTTTGGGATAATAAAACAGATTCGTGAATCTAATTTCTTTTATTTATTTCACTTATGATATATACAACTTTTTTCAATTACATTTTTCATTTTCATCTTTTAAATCGTATTCGTCACAGATTTCTTTCGGTAAGTGGGGTATCAACTGGAATAGGAAATCGCGTAGGCCAACATCGATGAATTGCTCACAAAACTGTACCAAGTTTATACTTCCATATATGAATTTATTACATATACCGGAACCAGCATTATACTCTTCATGGAGTCGCATACATCTTTGAATGGCATCATCATCGAAACAAATATTCATATCATAGTTGGTGGAATGTAATGCATCGAAACTTAGGTCGTTGAGCTCGCACCTCAATCGGTCAATTGCTGATTTCATGTCTTCTGCTTCTGGCCAGCCTTGTCGAGAGTATTGCATCCACATATTGAAATCACTGCAAAGGAGAAAACATTTAGATATGAATCAAAAAGTTCAAACTATTATACTCACATCAACAATAAATTTTTTGAATGAGGAAATATATTACAAGATGGATTTGACTGAATACAAAATTATTCAACAATTTCGAATTTAACCAGAGATCGCGTTTTTGCTCCAGCAAAGCTAGGTAAACTCTCTCCCAAATATTTCAAGCTGAACTGACTATCTGAGGAGTTCAGCTCATTGATTATATCATCACTCAGTCGATCTGTAACCCGTTTTGGTAACCATGTTTTGATTTTGTCATCCTCATCAGATAATAATAATAAACAAGATCTTCCAAATTTCGTAGACAATACAGTGATCTTTTCGATGAGGTATGCTTTGTTCACAGTCAATAAGGATAATGGTGTACTTGGAATTTCTTGTGGAGTTTGATTTATCATTTCATTGATTTTTTCTAGATCAAGTTTTCCAATTGACATTTTGATGATGATAAAATGGAAGAATATAATAAACGTGAAATAGTTTTACCTCAGCTTAGATAACAAACGATTTGGTAATGCTGACTTGAATTTCTCAATTCTACAACAGCACTCTACGAAATACGAAGTATTATAATAATGTGTTGTGGTGGCGCTGGCCTTTATATCCTTCCAAAAGTAGAGGGGATTCATGCATTGTAAAAGCACCCCCACTCTAAATTATCTCGCTACACGTTCACCTATCACCCTCGAGTTAGTCGAGCACCTCGACTCGGATGGATAAGATGTGTATGCTCCAACAGCGCTACACTCTACATTACGACTGACAAATACCAGTTCAACAATACATGCAAGTATGATGATGTAATGTAATTGAATGTATGATTAGTACATCATGACGATTCACTTATGGTTCCCACTCCATAAATAATGTCATTAAAAATACAGCAATTACGTTCAAGGTCAAATATCAAGTACCTACATACTCTATGTACCTGAAGTGTAATGCAACTTGTACTTCAAGGTCATTACACCTCTCTGGTAATTACAATTGAAACAAATACCGTGACCTTGGCCGATTCTTCATACCTCCTTCGGTAATTAGGATTGTAATTGCGACAATTAGAATTGTAATTGCGACAATTACCCTTCAAATGACCTTTAGAGGCCCTAGAATCGGCCAATTATCTCTACTATAGAGTCGTACCACCTAATAGTTGTATCATGGATATGCTTAGAGTACCATTTGATAACGAGGGAAGTATACACCCTCTCGATTTCGTAACACAATTGAATACTATTATAGATAATAATAATGTTAATTTCATCAATATTAGGATGATGTTGTCGCGAAAATTTATTGTAAAAGCAAAATTTTGGGGTGAAGCATTTTTGTCCACATTCGAAAATTTTCAGCAATTTCAAATAGCTTTTCTTGAACCTGTAAGAACAAATATTGGGCTTAAAAATCCTATTGCACAATGTATTGAACATTATAATGAATTACCAACACCCATATTGAACAGTCCCAACATCAACTTGTTTAAAAAAAACATCAAGAATATGCACTTGAAAAAACTTAGAGATTTACTATAAAATTATATTGAAAAAAATAAATAAATAAATAAAACAAGAGTTTCTCTTCTCTTGTTGGAAAATGCTTTAACATTGAAATATAAATGCAAATTTGTATTATTGCTAAGCTTTGTAATTTGTCCGAGACCATCATTCTGCTGATTTGGATATACTTCATATTCAAATTTATGCATTACTATATATATTTTTCTGCCACAGTAATAATTGTAATGATTGCTATATTTCAATAAAATACTCTTGAAAAAAATACTTTTGGGATGAGACCAGACAGTTACACATAAAATTGAAAATTGAAGCTGGACGTTATGAGAGAGGATCTTATGTTGAGCATTTTATATATTTTGTGGCAATGGCGAGACATCTGAGACCCCCATATACTGAGCCTATGCTTTTGGGGTTAATTTCAAGATATTTTCCACCCACCATATCAGCTGTATTGTTGGGGTGGAAACCCTAGGAGAAGCACTTTCCCGTTCACAACAAGCTGATTATTACAACAAAACCAGTCATAATTTTGATAATTCAATCGAACGAAATCGTTTTACGAGGGGTGATCAAAATCGAACATAAAATAACGGGCAATTTGCTCAGCAGAGAACTCACAATATTTCTAGTATGGATTTTTCTGAAAATGTAACTCCTATCGTAGATTCGGAAAACGATCCGAAACACTAACTCTAGGGCCTGAAGTTTGTGTGGAGTATACCAAAATGTCCGCCATTATTAAAAATAACTCAATGGATGAATTGTTGGAATGTGATTATGAACATACGGTGGATAATAAGCGTTCACCCCTCATAGAATTATCTATATTTGGTTTCAATTTTCCCGGTTATTGTAGATAAGGGCTCAGAATGTACGTATATTTCTGGTGACGTATACAACCAATGTCATAAATGATTCGCAGTTTTGTTATGAATGTTTACTAGTAAGCGATTTAGTTTTTCCAATTATCATGGGGGCGGATTTTTTAAGGAAATTCAATGCCGACATTAATTTGGGAAAAAATTGTTTAACAATTTTCAATGAAGGAGCGACGATTTGTGTGAAAGAAATAAATAATTATCACGAGTTCAAAGTCCCTGAAGAAAATCTGAACTTGCGGACAATAGCCGTCAAGCAAGATATTTATTTTATCGACCCGGGGAATCCTGATAAAAACGGTGGGTTTTGTACAAATTTCATCGAGGATTTAGCACATTTAACAGTTGAGCAAAAAAACACGCTTAAAAACGTTGTGAACTAATATCAAGACATTTTTTCAGATGTTCCCGGAAGAACACACGTTTATGAACACAAAATAAAATTATCGGACACCCAACCTTTTCATGTTAAACCATATCCCATCCCAGTGGCGTATAGAGAAGTTGTTTTCAAGGAAATCGAGAAAATTGTGTCATGGGGCGTGATCGAAAGAGCAGCCACCCCATATATCAACCCCTTAGTCAAGACCGTGAAAAAAATGGCAAGGTTCGGGTTTGTTCAGACGCGAGATTTTTGAATAGTCGTATAGAACCTGAACATGATCTCCCACGGCCTATCGATGAAATTTTGAAAACATTATCCGGTGCGCGTTATAAAAGTTGTATTGATCTGTCTTCTGGTTACTGGCAAATTCCTTTGCACCAAGAGGACAGAAATTATACTGGTTTTATAATAGGCAACAAAAGTTACCGCTTCACAGTACTCCCGGTTGGGACATCCACCGCGGTATCTTCGTTTACGAGGGCCGTTTCGTTAATACTCGGAGCAGAATGTGACGATTACGTAATCGCTTACTTGGATGACATTTTAATCTTATCTAAGTCATTCAACGACCACATCAAACACTTGGGTCATGTCCTGAATAAATTAAGAAGAGCGGGTTCGACCTTGAATTTTAGAAAATGTTCTTTTTTGCCACGAGAATCACCCTATTTAGGATACCTGGTAAGTGAGGACGGGATTCAAGCAGATACCTCTCGCGTAAAGGCTATTTTAGAATTTCCGGTTCCTAAGAATATTAAACAGGGGCAATCTTTTTTAGGTCTCTGTAATTACGACCGCATGCGAGAATTTCGCATCTACGGCTGAACCTTTGACACGACTCTTAAGGAAGAAATCGAAATGGGCGTGGTCTAAGGAACAACAAGATTTTTTCGCGAAATTGAAGAATAATTTATCGAAACCGGTTCTATTATATCATCCTGACCCTAACGTGGACTACTGTTTTCAAATCGATGCGTGTGAGTACGGTCTAGGAGGGCAACTAAACCAACGAATAAATGGACAGCGTTGCGTAATCGCATATGCCAGTCGCCTTTTATTAGATCGGGAAAGAAATTATAGTAGTTGTGAAAAAGAGGTACTTTTTTTTATGGTGAAGTGTTCGCAAAAGGATAGACTTATGATGCCACGGAGGCACTTTGCTCTCACCAAATGGATAACTTTTTTGTTGGGTCGTCATTTCCAGGTTTTCACTGACCACAGAGCGCTATTATATATTCGGACTTGTCGTCTCCTGACTCCAATAATATCTCGTTGGACCCTTGCTCTACAAGAATTCGATTTCACAGTTAATTACGTAAAAGGCTCAGACAACATAATTGCAGATGTACTTTCGCGCTTTCCCCCACCTCGTTTGGCTACTCCTAGTGACCGTTGTTTTCGACTTTTTAATATAGAGTTGTGCGCGCCGCTGAAGAGCAAATTAATAGATTTACAGGAGGAGGACGAGAGGTTAGGTAAAATTGTTCAGTCTTTGAATGAAGGTAAAATAGAGAATAACTACGTTCTTACTAACACCATCTGTGGACAAATCGTAGATTCAAGAGTAACCAAAAAAATGTCCTCTGTAGGTGAACGCCACCTTGAG